GCATTCGCTGTTCTACAGATTCGGAGCCTGGGATGACTGTCTCTCCGACCATGCCAAGTCATTCGAGTCCCACCAGTTCAGGAGCTTCATGCGCATGCATGGTGTGAACATGCACTTTTCAGTAGCATAACGTGCTGCCAGCAACGGACTTGTTGAACGTGCCAACGGGACACTTGTGACAGTACTTCGGAAACTGTGTGACGGTGATCAGTCACTTTGGATCGCTAACTGGAAGAGGCCGCCTTTGCTGTGAACACAACCCGTCACCGAAGCACCGGATTTTCACCCTTCGAACTTTTGTTCGGGTTCATACCAAAGCTGCCACACCAGAAAGTCCGCCCATATCAAGCCTCTGACCTCAGCGAAAGACTTCTAGCACTACCAGACCTGCGAAGCGAAGCAGTCAGTAACTCTGAACAAGCTCAGGAAACACGGAAGACGATATATGACAGGACCCACCGCGATGCATCTTATGACATCGGCGCCTTTGTATGGATATGACGGCAAGAGCCTATCCTTCAGGGATCGAAGAAACTTGCTCCCAAATTCAAAAAATTATATCAAGTCACACGCAAGAGAACTCCAGTTACGTATGACGTGCGACGTGTGACAAACTCGGCGACGACTACAACAGACTCCCGAGTCGCCCACGTAAGCCAAATGAAAAGATACCGGCCCCCATATTTCGATCCAATTCTGGCAGAGTCGACCACTGAAGATCAAAGCCCCGTACACAACTCCGTGGGATTTGAAGCATGAGCCTGACTTGGTGCCTTTGCCCCAAAGTGAGGCCCCAGGCCACCCGTCAAACCAAAGACCGCAGCGTCATCGGACAAAACCAAAGCGACAAAAGGACTATGACCTGTCGTTGCAAGATTAGGTTGTTCTTTTGTTCCAAGAGGACTTGGACTTGCAAGTGGGGTGGGATGTGAGCTGAGGTGACCTCCAGACAGCGGACACTGAGACCAGGTCTAACAACCTTGGGCAGCCCGGCGCGAGGAGCGTGAAGAGCCGCCATGAGCCTCGTGTGTTGACGAACTTGTAACCCAGCCCCTTTTAAACCAAATTAAAGCCTTTTTACCCCTTTACGCCCGCTCCACCGCTCACACCAGAAAGAACAGGTAACTCAGTGGATTCAGCTTTGCCCACACAAACAAACTGTTTGTGGTTCGTGAGGTAAGAATCCAGCCACCTCAGGAGACATTCATTGCCAAGTACTTGCTCCAGCTTATGTAATAATTTTCCTATGCGAAACTCTATCGAACGCCTTAGCTAAATCTAGAAAAATAGTGTTAACCTGAACGTCGTTGTCGATGGCTGAGGCAAAGTTGTGGATCGTGTGAAGAAGTTGAGTCACTGTCGAGTATCCTCGTCGGAACTCGTGCTGTTCATCAACTAAGAACGTTTCTGATTCTAGGAAAGTTATGATATCCTTAAAAATAAAATGTTCGAGAACTTTGCTACACGTACTTAAAATCGACGCTGGTCTATAGTTGCAAACACTATTTTTTTCGCCACTCTTTTATATGGGCCCTACCTTATCTACTTTCCAGTCTAGTGGCACCTCACCCGTTTTTAAACTGCAAAAGTAAATCCAAAAAAGAAACTTGGAACACCATTCAGCACACTTATGTAGAAAAGCATTAGGAATTTCGTCCGGGCCGCACGACTTCCTAATGTATAATCGCAAAAGACTGTCGAAAATACCTTCTACTGAGACCACTAAGTCACCGATCCCACAATTGTTATAAGCAAATGACGGCAAAACAGAGTTGTCAACTGTGTACACAGAAGAAAAAAAGTAATTGAAGTCGCTCGCGATGCTCTCTTCATCTAGAATCGCCCTTCCGCTATGACTAAGCTCCTTGATCGTCACACTCTTTTTTGTCAAGTGCGCCCAAAACTTTCTTGGGTTTTCCTTTAGGAAGTTGTGCATTGTGACATTAAAATAACGATATTTAGATGTGCGCACTAAGGTTCGTAACTCTTGGCGTGGATGTGGAAGCTTAAATTTTAAACTTGAATGGAACCTTTCTAATCGATTTATTTTTCGTTTAGATGTAAGATATCTCGCGTCACCCATGGACTGTTCTTCTTTCTTTTTGTTGAACGCTCTGGAACAAACTTCTCAATACATGTAAAGACAACCTGCTTGAAAAAGAGCCAAAGCTCATCGTTTTCCTCGTAAAAAAGAGTAAATCTGCCAAGAGCAACTTCCAAGAAGTTCAGAATATCGACATCGCTTGCCAGGGTGAAATCACGATAACGTTTAACCTCGGGCACTTTGTAAGAATAATGCGGAGCAGATAAGTCACACACAACTATTGTGTGGTCAGATATGCCATCCGCGATTAATACATCAAGAACACTTCTGGCAACGACCGCAGATAAAAACACAAGACCAAGTAATGACTCGCAACCGTTTGACACGCGCGTGGGACATTTGACCACCTGGCTTAAATTGTTGCTAAAAGCAATATCAACAAGAATTTTGAATGTTCACAGCTCCCTTTGGGTATCACGCTGTCCCAGTCTACGTCTGGCAAGCTGAAATCACCGGCCAATACTACTCGTGAAAATTGCTTAGTTTTGAAATAAAGAAATTCAAATAAACTACGTAAAACATCGATACTAGCTTGAGGACATCTGTACATTCCTCCTACAAGCATTAACTGGCTACCAAAACATATAGTAGCCCAAACAATTTCACAGTCATAGTTGTGTTCAATGGACGTGCACTGAAGTGAAGCATTTGAACCGCAAGCCACAATAAAGTGTCGTTTCAGCGCAAATGTTTTGTGTTTTAATAATATTTCACTGTTAAGAAGTTCCTTCGTTGTCCTCGATGGCGCTGCATGCGAAAAAGGCGAGCGTGCCGCGTTGCGTCGTCACAAACCCTATTCTATATGCAGCCGGCAACGGCCAGGCGGCGCCAGCAGGGTGAGAGCGCACGGTTATACCCTGTCTCGTTGTAACTTGGCAAACGGCGAACGATAAGCCCCACATTGCGTGCCGAAGGCTTCGAAATACGCGACGTATACGAGCGTAACGCACACATATTGGAGCATGACGCAGCGAAAAGCCTGATACTCCTTCAGTGTTAAGGCGCGCTCCGGTGACACGCAGTCACGTTCCGAATGGCCCGCCAGGGCCGTAGCTTCCGCTCTACTGGCACGTTACGCGATCACGGCTTCCTGGGATACCCAGTATTTCTTGCTTAGGACACTAGGCTGAGCGGCGCCACCAGAGTAATAGCTCACGTTTGAACAATGCAGCCGCCACTCCCACGGGTACCCAATATTCCTTGCTTCAGTCTCTAGGTGGCGCCAAACCAAACAAGTGTCGTTGCGTTGGGTACCCCAAAGCGATGGGTTGCCCAAAGCGTTGGGGCCCCCTATTCTAAAACTCTCTATTAAGCAATGCAAAGACTGCGTTTTTTGGTCTAAACATGTTTCGGCATTGTCATTCGCTGAGCTGCCTCCGTAAGTTGCGGTGATTGGCTCTCTGAGTGTTGTGCGGGAAAGCAGACGCACGGGCTTTTTTTAGAGTGCAATGGCCGGCGGCGCCCAAGGCATACCTAGGGCACAGCCCCCCGGCCCCGAGGGGGGGGGGGGGGGGGGGTCCTGTTTGCCCCCCCCCCCCCCTCAATGAAAAGTTGGTACGCCCCTGCCTGTGTACATTTAGCTTTTACGGCTACTGGAGCTGATTGCTATATAATGGCATATATAAACAGTAATTATGTGCACACTTCACCTGGTAATTTTAGAAAATGTGCACGCACACAAGAAAAACACCTGAAGTTGAATTTTCAGAGAATCACATTCATTACTCCATCAAAGACCGAAAGTGGCTGCAGCAGTTCGGGTAACAAAAACTCCGGGGAAACCAGCAACCTTTGGTCGATCTTATCTGAAATCACCCTATTACGCTTGGTTCATCCTCATCTTATAAATATCCTGGTCTTCATATAACCAGGTCTCCGTGGCAAAATTGTCTTAAAAACAAACGACCTAGAAAGTGTCCAAAAAAAAGAGTGTTACGATTTATTTATTCCGATTATTCTTTTTACACAAGCGTTTCTGAATTGCGTAAACGAGCGAACCTTCCTGAACTCACGTTAAGGCGAAACATATTTCGTTTGACATTATTCTACAAGGTTTACCACCATATAACCCAACAATTGAAGTGAAGTAAACTATTTCCTCCTCCCACTCAATGTTTGCCGAGATTAGATAAAAGCTGTACAATACAACCCATAAATGCATCCACCACTTCTTACGCTAGCTCTTTCATACCTTTCGGAATCCACAACGGACTATGATAGTCCGTTGCAACTGCTTCCTCCTCCCCGGCCTCCCTTTCCCTCGCCCAACCTTCTCGAGTTGCAACTTTTTTTCATTTCTTGTTTTTCATGTTTCGTTGATTTTTTTTTTTTTTTTTTTTGCTGTTTATGAAGGCTTGCGCTTTGTTATTGTCCTACAACATACGAGCTGCCCATCCCTTGTATAATGCCCTGTTCCAGGCCTTCAAGGAACTAAATAAACAAATAAATATCAAGTATGTCACCCAAGCATAAACATTAAAACAATGTCCAAGCTCTCATGTAATTGTTTTTAAATTAAGCTTAGAACAGGAAAATACGTGTAGCTGTCCCCAATCAACCGCGGCTTTTTTTTTTTTTTCTCGACGGTTTGCGCACAAACTAAAAACGCAAAATCACAGTACATTCATTCTGGTTGATCGGTTTTGGTTGATGACCCCATAAGCATAGGAAGGCGACAAAACCTGCGATGTGTGGCGTTTTAACACTGCTTGGCTGTCCCAATCAGCTCGTAGCATCGGCTTCGCTGTGACTTACGGGAACACGAACTTAATAGCCTGTACTAACTCCACATTTACTAACAGGTTTCATCTTTTGTTTTCTGAGTAACATGAACATTTGTGCGAATAGATCAAAACAATCAACGAAACTGAAACAAACAAAAAAAAAGATCAGATCGTTCCTTCGCGAAACAAAATGCGTTTATTCAAACCCCGTCGATGATACGAGCATCATGTTGCGTTTCGTCATCTCGTGCTTGCAGGATAAGCCAGGGTTCTGTGAACTCCTTGATGTTTTGCATCCGGGCTCTGTAGAAAATGAATGAATCACGCGTAAGTAGCGAGCAAGATGTCAGAATTAGCTCCGACGGCTGCACCGTTTATCGACAGTGATGAAACTCGGACTTGAAACAATCGCGTAAATTTTGTCTGTGCAGAGCACCTCTGAAGCAATGTTACACGCTGTAGATAAAAGACAGTCAGCCAGTGAAGTGCTATCGCTATAATCTTCTAGCCGGAAGTTTTAAAAAGTAGGACAAGCTCTTCTCATAAAGCACTTCAGCAGAGAAAACGCTGCAAAGGAGGCGACTGGTACAACGCTCGCGAAGTGGAAAGGGAGGAAGGCTTTGCGAAAGGAGCTGGGATAACGTCTGCTCATTCAGTTCAAAACGAGCAGGGTTGGGGTGTAGTTAGGGGCTGAACCCACGAAGCCTGGAAATCTGCAGCGCAAATTTTCGCTCCACGCGCTTGGGGCTTCGGCGCGCTATTGGCGGCGCGAGTGATCGAAGGCGTCGCTATGGTCGGCCTGCCATGATTGGCCGAATGCTGACTATGACGTCAGCAAAAGATTCCTCATCGACGGAGCTAAGAGGAATGTAGGAATTTTAATTTTGACGGTGATGGCAGTGTTACTCTGAGAGCGCAAGGATTTCGAGCATCCAGCATGCTCATTACAAACACCATCGAACTTTTTGTTCGCGAGGTAATGACGTCACGAGAGGGAACAATAGAAGGGCGCCACCAAAACATCTCGCCACTAATAGCACTGTCGAACACCGATTCCCTTCTTCTCTTCAAGACGATGCCACGAATGCACTTTTCAAAGCTACAAGCTAAAAATGAATAAATAGAGAAAAGATGCCCTCGCGACTCCGGGAATCCGGGACGCTGATTGGCGATATACAGACTTTATGGCCCCACATTTGGGCTAGATCGCAGTGCAGGGATTGATACGCGGGATTGGCAATCATGCTTTGTCCAGGAAGGCACTTGGAGGTGTTCCCGTGAATAATTAAGAGCAGCACTTGTTGTTTTAAAGAGGCAGTGCAGTAGAGTGTACCTACTACTTGGCGGGGCTTTTGGTCTTGCACTTGTCGCAGGGGCAATCACCACCTGGGCACTTGCACGAGGTGGTGCATGTGCACTTGGGGTCTGCGCGAAAAAAAAAAATAGAGGAACACTATGAACAACGAATAGAACACTACACGATAGCGCTGGTCGAGAAATCGCACATTCAACTATATATTCTTTTCTTTTTGACCTACGTTTTACACAACGTATGCGGGTTGAGTGGCTTGAATAGCTCAATAAAACCAAAGAAGCCGAAATCACATTTAGGCGGAGAAGATTAAAAGTCTGCAGAAACGAACTATAGACTTTTCAATTAAGCTCAACACACCCTTTCCACAAACAACGAGAAACAAATTAAATTTAAACAAAGTGATTAATACCGCCATTTTTCGTTTCGTACATCGTGTAATGACGTTAGCATGAGAACTGAAACTAAACGAACACTGACTGGCGCCAGTGGAGAGTTGTTGGTAGACAGAAAACAAAAGTCAAAACTACGAGATTTATAATTGTGTGGTGCCGGTCAGAAACTAATGAACGTATATTAGAGACAATGAGAATACCAAACGTCTAAGGTGACAAATAGTCGCAAATTCCGAATCCATAAAAAATGTCATAATAATAATAATAATAATAATAATAATAATAATAATAATAATAATAATAGTTTTATTTACCATGTATAATGGATAACATCGTGGATACATCATAAACTGGTGACCGGTCAAAACAAAAAGCGATACAAAAACAACAACAACAACGTAAGAGTCAATGTAAGAAACGATGGAAATAGGAAAGTTGGAAACGGAGGAATAATATCGGAGTATGAAAGGATGAAAATCAAAGATTGAGAAACCGACAGAATTAAAGCACGAAGCGATAGAAACGAACAGATTTGAGAGCACAAAGGGGAAGGGTACGAGGCAAAAATGTGACTTTATGCAAGCGTCACATAAAAAAAAAAAAATCGAAGTGTATAAGAATGAAAATGGGATAGGCGGAACCCAACACATAAAGTCGAAGCAGAAAACGACTGAGGTAGTGAAGTCGGAAATCGAAATAAAATCAAAATAAGAAACAATAGAATGAAAAGGAAAAAAAAAGAAAATCAGAGACTGACACACGAAGTCCAAGCACGAAACGACAGAAATGACAAAGTCAGAAAACGACAAACATGATCAATTCTGTGACGGGTCACCTTGAACCTACAGAAACAACCGTAGAAAGGACGGAACAAGACAAAACAGCTGACCCATCACCGATATACCATTTGCATTCGACCATTCTTGGCAAGGAAGCCAAAGCTATGCACTCTCAAGAAAAAAGGGTGTAAAAGGGTGTCACCTTACACCCTTTGTCCCATATAATTAATACACCCCAAAACTTCAATTCGACGTACAGCGCCCTACAGTCGAACAGACGGCCCCAAATTTTACGAGGGGCTTGATAGCCGTGTGGTACAACCTATTAAAACAGGTAAAGTACGTTTTACTGACAAAAAAAAAAAAAAATTTAAAAATCGGTGTTCTCTTGGACCTACTGTAAAAACTCGGTGTTTTCTTTATGTGCTATTTGATACGTACTTTAGCTATTTAAAAAGTTATATCGCACCGTTATCAAGCCCCTCGTAAAACGTGGGGCCGTCTGTTCGACTATAGGGCTCTGTGCGTCGAAATGAAGTTTTGGGGTGTATTATATGGAACAAAGGGTGCAACCCTACACCCTTTTTTTCTTAAGAGTGTAGTTTTGCTCGTGCGGCCCTCACTTCTTCGGAAATGCCAGAAAACGCTGTCCCCGAGTATAGGAAGTATTCACTGGACGCCATATTTGTGGGTGCTGTTTAGAGCGCATGCTCAGAACGAGCTCACATCAATAGGCTGCTAAAACCGGCACTCTTGACGGTGCGGAATGCACGTTGCAAAAAAACTGTGGAAGCCCGCCAGCAGCACGCGCTCAGCATTCGCGCACACAGCTATGGCCGCCAGTGAATACTCCCTATAGACGTTTCCACTGTTTACAAGTAGCACGGTCCACACGTGCTAAATCACAGTCCAGCCAACTCTCGCGCGCGATTGCGGGCAGGCAGAAAGTGAGCGTGCATAATAACCCAACCACAGCAACGAACGCGCACTCAAACGCTTTTATAGAAAGGTGTGTATAGCTTAAGTAAAGCCTTTAAACGTGATAAAATTAGAAAACGACACATTTCAGATGCAGCAAAAATAACAAAATCAAGAGTGGCAAAAAAAATGGCAGTTAGAAAAAGGCAAAATTGCCAAAGTGAAAAACCGTCAAAAGTTCAAAAACAAGGTCGGAAAGTAGAATAATGGCTAAGTCTAGAAAGTCGGCAAGTAGAATAATGGCTAAGTCTATAGATACAAAAATCCCAAGTCAAAATCAAAGCCAACTCACCGCCACACTTGCAGACAGGGTCCATCTTGTTCTTGGAGTTCCTTGGAGAAGGTCTTCGGAAATTGCAGGCTCTCTTCGGAGTCTTTCTGTTCGCGCCACCTTTTTTATAGCCAGATTTGAAGTCTTCGCGCAGTGCGCAAAAACGGTTCTGATTGGCTGAGGCCGTCCCCCGCGCCGTCTGCAAAACCTAAGCGCCGTGCTCAAAGCGGCAGCCAGTCAACTCGGAGCGAGCGCTGATTGCTGTAGCCTTGGCAACGATGGAAACTTCTCGAACACCTTGGACTTAGGTGCTGATATGAGTCGCTTTGGTAAAGGCTGAAAGAATAAAAACAACGGCAAACGTATCCCGTGTCGATAGCAGACAACCCTATCTCATCGTTTATTTGTGTCAAATGAGAATAGTAATACCGAATACCTTGGAGACAAATACAGGAAACTCCGGAGTGAAATGGGGGACACAAGTAAGATCACTCCCGGCGTCAGGGAATGGACAACTGACAATTTTTACCGGAAATGTAGCAAGTGGTCTTACTCAGTAGAAAAATTAATAAGCTATGAAATATATTTTAGAATATATTGGACGCATTGGTCTTTTGATGTCAAAATGCAGTGTGTGCTGTTAGGCGTGTCAGGAATTGCATAGCGATTGTATACAATCGAAACAATTACCCTTTTTTTAGCTTGTTGACACATTTGTTTTATTTCTACCGATACATGTCGTCTTATTTGATGTGATTGGCTTTAAGTGATCATAATTGGCAGTGAACATAAATTTTTGATGAGGTCGATTTGAAATGCCTCAAACTGACACAAGTGAATATTATTCGTAATGAGTGATTTCAAATCAGATCGACCAAAGGGTGGCTGGTCGACATTTTTAAAACAACTGATGTTTTTATACGCCATTGTCTAGTGTCTGGTATAAACAAATCCACACTTAGTTTTGACCAGAAAAGTCATTTGTGTACAGGAAACGTCGTAAGGCATGAAGAGGTGGATTGCATTAACGCGCACTGATGGACAGGGCACATTTGAAAGTGAATAACTAAAACGATAAAATTATGAGGATTCTAATACTTTTTAGAAACCAGCAATGGGTGGAGCTTGCTTGTAATATGTAGGAATAATATTTATCTAAATCATATTTCTTTTTCAAAAAATTGCCCAACATGCCTACTCGAACGACAAATGGCGAAATTTGGAGGCCTGTTTCTCATGAAATAATAAAAAAAAATCAATGCAAATAATTTCTTTTTGTATTTTGTTATACTCTATTTCGGCATTTATTTATATTAAAAACATGTTGCATTATTTTATTGAAAAAGAAGACATAACTCCCCAAACTAGGGTCTTTTTTTTTCAAAGTCTACACTTACCAGTCCCCTATAAGAGACGTGACTCTGAGTTCCAGTTTCATGACACCCACGCCTCGAGATCGAACCGTGTCGCCACCATGCGGGCGAAAATGGAAACATGCAAAAGTGGTGGGGATACCGCCGTGCGTCGTATGCTTCGGGCGCACGTTTAGAAGCACTGTGTTCAGAAGCGTGGATTTGTTTCAGTTGTCGTTTCTTCTTGCTAAAAGTTGTGTTGTGTCGCTTCACACGCGTGGAAATTCAGCAAAGTTATTATTATTAAGTCGTATGCTACCCAGGGGCAAATGCAAGGGGGGGGGGGGGCGGCCACCCCCCCCCCCCCCCTCCGCCAAACAAAGTAGACCCCCCCCCCCCCCCCCGAAATAAAACCAGACTTGGACGTAGTTCAACTACTCTACTCAAACTACTGTAGTTTAACTACTTTTTCGAGTAACTTGGTAACTTTCAATTACAACTTAATTTGGGTAATTAGTAGTTTAATTTAACTACTTTTTTCAGGTAACTTCTACTCAAATTACTAACTACTTTCGAAATTATATAGTGCTAAATTTGCCCATCACGAAAGTTTGAGCGCAGAAATGAATAAGACGCCGGCAGATGAAATGGCATTCCCGAACAACGGGCCCCCTTGTTCGGGAAGGCGTCCTTGGGCCAAGGTGGCGACGAGCAGCCAAAACATAACACCGGCACGCACGAACGCAGGAAGAGGTGCTGAACAAGCCTTGGTCGGGTATTGACCTAATCCGGTAATGCACGCAGGCGCCGCGTTTCCAGCTGCAACCGTGGAAGAAAGACTCTGAGAGTTGTTTTCGTGCTGTCTGTCTTTAGTGACTTCGGACTCAAGCGGTAGGTTCCACGGGAGGCGCCACTGGAATGACCTCGCAGCTGGGCGCCTTGTCGTCAGCGCATACGCCTTTGCAAAGCCGGACTCCCCGCGCACAAACCCTGGTACGGATAATCCGTTCATGGGAGCACGTTCCCGCTTCCAGCTGCAACTGTATACGAGCGACGATGCTTGTTCACGTAATCCTTCGCGTCCTTCCGACCATCTATGCCTGGGAGACCTTTTCTTTGTTAAAAACCATTCAGGCGCGTCAGAATATTGTAGTCGCCGGCGAGGATTGCGAGTTACCCATAGGAGATCCTTTTGTTGGACCCGGCTTCAGCGGCGAAGTATACTTCGGTTCATCTTCTGTTAAACCAAAACAATTTTTTTTTCTTCAGTAGCGTAGCACTAGCACTACAACGGGACGGGCAGTCGTCCGGATGATCTCATCGTCGTGGCGCGAGACTTGAACCCTTGACGGAATAAAGAGGGGCCAGTCATAACAATCTCAACTTGACGAAGAAACAAAAAAGGAGGAAAGTTTGTTATTAAAGACCCTCTACCCGAGGCAAACCTCACAAGTTTCGTCATGGACACCTAATATGCCGACACTCGCTTACCCGACTCTCCACAGCCTGTTTCTCAAATTCAACGCTGCCGTTCCATCCAGCCCGTCGGCGGAACGTCTATTTAGCTGGGCTGGGGACGTCTTTAAAGGGAAAAGGGGAAAACTCTCCTATCAAGAACTTTGAAAATCAATTGCTTCTGCGAGCGCGTAAACTATTTTGGCGAAAACGCAAGCCATAAATAGACTGCATTTATTTTAGGCTCGCAGGGTTTTTCAATGATCAAAACTGCTGTTCATTTTGCTACCACAAAAATATAAAAAAGTAACTTCGAAAGTAACTTCAAAGTAACTCGCTACTTTTTTACAGTAGTTAGTAGTTTACTCAATTACTATTACGAATGCGTAATTTCTACTCTACTCCAATTACGTTTGGCGTCGATACTCAGTAACTTAACTTAACTACCTTTTTTGAGTAATTTGTACATGTCTGAATAAAACCGACTACCGGCCGGCCAGGTGGTAGAAGGCTCGGTACTCAAGGACGAGGGTTCGAAATAGGGTAGGTCGCACCCTAGCAGGCACACTTGTACTCTGAACTTGGAGAACCACTCCGTCGCTTCAACCGAGGAACTGATGTCCGCGGCGTCGGTTTCAAAGCACGGCTTGGAGCCAATAAGTCGGCGCAGCGGCGCACATCTAGCTGCCGTCGGCGCAGTGTGGTTCTGCGGCGGCTAAAACAAAAGGCGGAACTGGAGTCCTGTTTATCTAACTTTAAATCCCCCCCCCCCCCCCACACACACACAAAAAAAAAGAAAAAAAAATCCTGCCTTTTCCCACTGACCGCCACCCTTTAAAGGGATACTTCAACGAAATTTGAAATATCCCCGTCGTGTTCAAAAATAGGTTGAATGTGATCCACAATATCCGTAAATGACACTCGCACGTTTGTATTTTGAGCCTGGTGGCTGTATTTTTCGTTATAAACGGCCCACTCTGGCAAGCGCTCGGAGAAGGCCCAGCGGAGACCACGTGACATCAACGCAATCGTGACGTCGGTCGTCTCGGGACGAGCAAAGCTACGGTGAGGCTGACGTCCAGAGGATGGCCTAGTCGTTCCAGCCACCGAAGCGGCTGCTTTTGTACGAATTTTGAGTGACGGGTTAATCTTCTATAATCTTGTAGGGGGACAATAGCGACTTCTGCGACACACAGAAGGCATTCTCGGGAAGAGGGGAGTTCCTCCTTCCCCTCTTCTCTCGTCGTGGCCGGAGGCGAGACACTCACCGTCACTAGCTGTCAAGGTTCCTAGACGGGTATTACAAACGAAGTGTTAGCGACATCCACCAGGTGCTCTTGGCTAATCGTTTGATTCGTTTTAAAATTACTTTTCGTGACTTTTTCAACAAGATATTGGTGTGTTCGATGTGATACTGCTCCTTTGAAGACATAGAGACCAAAAAATAAGCGCGGAAATTTTGTTGTAGTATCCCTTTAAGGGCCAAAAATGTAACGAATAGGTGAAACGATATCAAAATAGCTGCGAGTGTCTACAGTTGAAGGCAATCTTTACACATATCTTTCATCTTCATTTTGACGCTACAGCAATTAACACCGCAGCCGTTAATGAGCATTTCCTTGGTTGTCGTTTCGCCTAGAACTTGTTTAGGAGAAAGCAAAAAGAAAGAACGAAAATGACTTTCTTGAACTACAACGTTCATTCATATCGATAAACATCGCCGGCTTGCCGACGGGCAGGTGCTGTCTTTTGAATGAATCTCCAGTTTTGACTGTAACACACAACTTTATCGCGGTGAGGATCACGTGTGTACGCTGAATTGCAAGAGCTTAATCATCCCCGGCCGATTGCTTCGAAGAACGAGACACGAAGGTTTATGGAGAAGCGGCGAAAACAAATAAAACAACATTAAAACAAAATATAGAAGCAAGCAGGTCATTTCTTTTTTTCAGATATGAAATGGGTTAGGCAGCGACCGAAAAGATACCCGCAAAATTCCCATCACAAAAAAGACAAAATTTCGCTTGCCCTAGATGGCATGCCTCGCAACTCGACAGCTGCCGCGGAAATCTAGAGCGCTCATTCCTGTAATTGTTCCCAATGACTGGAAGCATTTTAATTATCCCTTCACTAATTAGTTACTGACTGTGAACAGTGAAGGAAGCAATTCAGGCAAGAAATAAATTTTGTTGGTTGAAGCAGTCTTTACGGGGTCAAGTTACTTTATCCTCGTGACTTTTTTAACAAGATATTGGTATGTTCGATGTGATACTGCTCCTTTGAACACATATACAGGGTGAAACAAGGAGACGCCAGGCTCTT